CCCCAAAACCCCAAAACCCCAAAACCCCTAAGCCTTCAGTAGAAATTGAAATAGAATTCTAATTTGAAAACGAGTTTGTTTAATTATAGATAATTAACTCATATACTCATATAATTAGACTTGAATTAACCTATAATAATTTGCAATTTTAGTGTTAGATCAAGTAAACAAGCAATTTACAAATACTTAATGGATTCAATCAAATTTGCAAGGGTGAATCTTCTGAGTCTTAATTCAAAGAAATTCCAATTCCTTTAAGCTATCTTGTTCTTGTGGGGCTCTGCATGTTCTTCTTCTCATTCGCAATCATATCCTCACTACTTTTAACAGAAAGCTAATTCTTATCTGTGTCTTCCTTATTTTGCTACTCATCTTGATATTTATCAACAGAGACCAATAATTTTGACACAATTTTCTTTTAATTAATATGCTTCCTTGCACTTTTGATCTTTCTAATTTTATACTAGCATCTCTCCTTTGTAATTTTCTACTTCTATTAAAATAAGTAAAGCGAAAATTTTTATTACCTTATAACTCTTTTTCACAATTTCAATTTTTCTTTATTCATAAATATAATCAAAAGTTGTAATGCCAACACAGCAAAAATAGATATGCCAGCCAACTAATTATGATAAACCTAGGCCTTTCAAAGTACTGAATATCAAAGTAATACTCACTCCTACAAGCCAACCGACACTGATATCGTTTTTGCTGTATTGCTCATAATTTTAATAGCCATCTTATTTGCTTGTATTCCAAAGATAAATTAGATATGACTACAATGCCATTGAAAATAGAGTATGGATAAAAGTTATTATTATAAGAACCATAAAGATTGTATAATTATGCTAGCCAATGCAGTTATTTAGCCAAAAGCAATGATGATCAAATTTTTAAACGCATTTATTGCATACTCCACAATGCTTGCTTCGATTGTGGATATGGGTGTCGCAAACCTAACACTTCAAGTTAAACTGAGTGTTAACAATCTGCTGTCTAAAACGTTAATCAATTTTCTATCTTACCCTTTTTCTATTTTTTCTTTTTCCACTGATATATTTTTATCAATAGGATTGATGCTAGTGCATAGATAAGCAAAAACTATAATAAATAGAATTGCTCCTATATGAATGCTCACCAAAATTCCTTGAATTAGCCTTGAACCAGTTATCATAAATATGTAAACAGTAACCATCGTTATCTAAATTAAAAGCTCTATCCAAGTTAGTTTTTAAAACGTATGAAAAGGTCTTTCCAAGCCATTTCTCTTGACCTTTCTTGTCTTGTCCAAAAACATCAACAAAAATATATCTCCTGCAGTATCATCAGACTTCGGCTTCTTAGCTTTTTCTTACTTCTCCTCAACTTCTCTAAAAATTAAAGCTATGATATTTCTAAGAAACTAACCCTTACATTTTCCCATCCATTTGTAGTAGTATTTTTTAATTTAAGTTATCTTCATCATTTACATTGTTGAGCACAGTTTAGTTAGCTTTGTTGTCCAGAATAGATAAATTAGCCACTGCATGATCACCTGTTACAAGATTAAAATCTCTTTCACAAGTAAGAATTGTTCCTTAACTAGAAGCATGTTATTAATCCATTTAGTTAAAAGCTTTTTCTAATAATTAATTAAGAATATCGTCAATCCTTCAAATTTATTCAATATTAATAAATTTAACTAACTAATATTTTATTGATAAATTTCCAAAATTTAATTATTTTTAGAAGCAAGGGGTTTTGGGGTTTTGGGGTTTTGGGG